TTAAGTTTTATTATGTTTTTATATTTTTTTTTTATTTTTGGTCTAATTTGATTTTCACACTTTATTTTTCAGCTTTAGCATTCTGCACGGAAACAATTATAACTGGAGTTCAGGGAATCCGTTTGAGGCGTTCTAAAAATCGCCGGAAAGCTAAGAGAAAGAGCTACGACTTTCATGTTAGAGTCGAAGTTAGATTCGGAGCACATTTTCTCAAAATATTCGTTGAAGTTACATTTGGGTCATGTTTTGGGCCTGGGTGATGTTTTCGACCATTTGGGTCATGTTTTAGGCCTGGGTGATGTTTTCGACCCAGTTGGGTTTTGAAATTGTTTTTCTTTTTAGGGGAAACTCATGTTACTGTTCATTCATTCTCTATTCACGAAAAAGTTGAAGTTTTGTAAGAATCTTATGGAGAACTAATCACTCTGAGTCGGTCTACCGTAATTCAGGTTCCAACACTTGAGATTGTTATTATATTATTATTTGTTTAATTCCGTTCAATGATTTTATACTCTTGTAAGCTTAATTCAATTGTATGAAATATATTGATTCAATTTGGTTGAATGTATGATCTTAACATAGACACTTTTACGTTTGCTTAATTCGTTTTTGTGTCTGAATAATCATGTTTGCTTAATTCATGAAGCTTTATACCGTTTGCTTAATTCGGACAATAGGATCATATATGTTGCAAACCTTATCGCGCTTGTCATTGAGTTTGTATCCAGATAGGAATGAACGCTTATAATATTAAAATTATAACAATCGATGATAGTAGGAACCGAATCGGTAGATTGACTTATTTCGTAATCACTTATTTCACAACAGGTTTTTCCAATAATCACTTTTGTTAATTACTCTTATTCATTCGAACACGACCAAACCCCCCCCCCCCCCCTTTTTATTCGATTAGTAAAAATCAAGAGTCCTTGAGAATGATATTCCGAGTTACTGCCGCTGTACTGCATTTTTACAAAAACACTCGTTTTGATCCGCGCGCTACAGTGGATCAAATGACTTCCTTATGCCTGGCGCCTTTGAAGCCCTCCTGGTTCCGCGTGTCTCGGGCGGTGTTTGCGGCTTCTATCTCCTCATACTTGATGTATGATTGGGCTTTATGGAGAAGTCGGAGTGAGGTCTTATGCCTTGGCGATGTTGGAGTGAGGTTTTATGCCTCTCTGGATCATGAATTTCTTCATGTCGTCCATGGTGGACACCTGGACGGCCTCTCGGTTGAACCTCTCTATGTAGTCTCTAAGAGCTTCGTTCCTCCCCTGGATAATGGCTTCCAGGGCTGCCTCTGTCTTCAGATGCCGCCAGGAGGCTATGAAGTGCCTAGAGAACTGCCTCCTCATTTCCCCCCCGGAGGTGATGGGTTCGGGCGCAAGGCATTTGTACCATGCTATGGCACCCTTCCTCAGGGTAGTGGAGAACAACCTTCACTTAATGGCTCTCTGAACGTTTCGATAATTGAGCACCACGTCGATGCTTTCAATGTGGTTGTCCGGGTCGGTCGTGCCATTGTATGTTGCCAAGGACGGGGGTTTCTCCATCCCGACAGGTAGTAGGGCCTCCCTGATGGGCCTACATAGTGGCGAACGTTGGATGTCTTCGTCACTCTTGACGGGCGACAGTGAAGGGGAGGCTGATCCCTGGTTGTTTCTGTTCCGTCGAGGAGGACTCTTCGGTCGGGCTTTTGGTTTGGAGGCACCCCTTTCGGCTTTTCTCTTCTTCTGAACTGGGGAGCGTCGCTTATTTCGGGCAGGCAATTTGCCCTGCTTCTGGGAAGCCAACGGCTATGGTCGCTCCAAATGAGGGCGACGCCCAGTCGGTCGAGGAGAGGGGCTCCGAGAATCGTCGACTGGCCATGTCCTCCGTGGGGGATGAGAGGGGCTATTGGAAATTGGGCGACGATGTCTCCGGGGGGAGAGCGTGAGGGTTGTTCCCTCTCGAGCATCCCTATTCACTCCTTCTGCCGAAAGATCAACAAGTTAGTCTGGTTGATCATGGCGAACAGGGCCATCATGGTAGGGTCGGCGCCAGCTGGCACCGGGATGGGCTGGTAGATAGCAGGGTTGTCGAAGCACTGGGCGACATTGAAGGTCGCGTCTTCTGAGGAGGGAGAGGCGGTGCGCCCATCCCTGTTGTCGCCTTCTTCATTATGGACGATCGCATTGGGGTCATGGTTGTTTCCTTTGGTGAAAGGGACGAATGCGGTTTCAAGAGAATTGTCGTCGCGTGGGCTGGCCATGATTAGAACGGAAGTTGAAGGTTGCTTTGGTTCTTGAGCTTCTATGCTTGGACAGGAGAAAGAACGGAGAAGCAAAAGGCTCCAACACATGGCGCCATTGGTCGTACCTGATCAGAAAGGAATCAGTAGCCTACCACGCGTCGTGAGTTGCTTCCTTCATCGGTGTTGTAGAAGAGGAAGGGTGTACATGCAAGATGCTCTGATGCTTAAGTGAGTAATAAAACTAGAGACAGATCAAGTATAGAGAAAATGTGTAGTGAATAAGATACCTGAACCTCTAGTGAAAGAAGGTATTTATATTGTGCCTCTGGCACAGGGCCAACAATTACATTGCAGTGGGCATGATTTTTAAGCCTAACACAAGTAACTGCCAAGGCTTACGTGGCGTAGTGAAGACCAGTACATGGTCTTCACCCTGGATCAACTGCCCAGTGATCTTCGGAAGGTGAGCTGGCTAACTCTTACAAAAGTAGGTAGTTGCCTGATGAGGTGTCCCCGTGTGGGGGGCACGTGGAGTCCGTGGGGAAAACGTGTGAGCTCTTCCCGTGCAAGATAATGCTCTGCCCGACTAGTGTGCCTTGTTGAGAGTTGTGCCCGACAGAGAGGAATGGTCCTTGTTGGACCTCATCAACATAGTATAGGGTTGGACCTGCCCGTCTGAGGGGCATATATATATATATATATATATATATATATATATATATATATATATATATATATATATATATATATATATATATATATATATATATATATATATATATATATATATATATATATATATATATATATATATATATATATATATATATATATATAGAGAGAGAGAGAGAGAGAGAGAGAGAGAGAGAGAGAGAGAGAGAGAGAGAGAGAGAGAGAGAGAGAGAGAGATTTTGAAGTTCAAGAAAATCTTCAGTTTTTCCCCGTTGAATTAAGAATCCACTAACATTTTAATTTTTTGAATTAAAATTAATTAAAATGATTTTTCTTTGAAGCAATTTATTTTGTGACCCACGATGGTCTTAGAAGTTAAAATCTGAAATCATGATGACTATGACATATGCAGATTGTTGTGAACAGTGTCAAGAGTTTGTTAAAAAAACTATTTCTTCCATATTGCAAACATTATCAGAAGTGACATTTTGGAGGTCATCTATTAGCCTTCAATTTTCGACTCAAACTATACCCAAACTCACTAAGCCTAGTTTAGAAGAATCTCAAGAATAGATCCACAAGATTGAGACCACTCTTTCTTCAAAACATGTTCAGAGTCTCGAAAAAATTTACATTGATTTGACATATTCGACAAAATATCGTGTGAGATAAATACACAGGAAAATGCGAATAACTGAAACATGGTTCGACATCAAGATTACAAAATTCGGCTAAGGATTCTTGACAAAGGTTGTTGAAGGACTTAGGAATTTTTCTTGACAGAAGTGACAATTTGGTAGCAGTTCAAATATTGAAGACGCAAGGAAGCAATGTAGAGGACAAAAGGCCACGTAGTACTGTACGTGTCGAATGCTGGAGATTTGACCATTTTCAACGGTTACTGATGTACTTATATATAAGTTGATTTAATATCTATAACAAGGGTTCACAATTTTCATTATTAGTCTCTATAGAATTCTAACATCCAAGTTATAGATATAGTGAATTTGTGAGAAAATATATGAATACGTGCCCCAATTTTAACTTAAGCATTTCATTTCATTTCTTTTAACATTTCCTTTATCTTCTAACACTTATGCATTTATACTTTCTGAAGTTTTCCTCAAATTATTTACATTCAAACACTGAAGGATTAAGCATGTACACCTTTTCTTTAATCGTTTCTGTATAATATGTCATAAGATTTTTTCGAGTTTAATCACATAAGTGAATTAAAACTTGTGATTGTTTACCAAAAACATAGGTAAACATAACCTTTTTATTTTTGGGTTGTAATTTCTCTCTAGATGATTCAATTTCTTTGCTGAACAAATGATTATATTTTTATGATACCTAAAGTATTATAAAAAAAAATGTATCCATTAAAATAATTTTTGTTCATCCAAACATATAAAGAGCACAGTAAAAATGATATAAGATACAATACATTTCCACACGATTAAAAGTCTACAAAGAAAAATTATCCCTAGAACCTATCCCTCGAGTTAAAGGCACAACTGTGACAAAAAGTTATGCTTTTCACTTTAATTTGTATTCCAACCATGGATAAAAGTTAGTGGTACACGCAATTTTAAAAATAACAAATAGTATTGTTGAGATTCGAAATTATTACCAAACAATTTTTCATATTGGTCTCTATTTCAATCATAAGGAAAAAAAACACTTTCTATAACATATTTCATTACTACACATAACCAACCGTAATTAAATCCTTTTCCTCAAAAAAATCATAGATACGAACAATCTTCATTTTGCTTATTTATAGTAACTTTCACACTAAAACTATGTATAATTAGTTTAAAATGTACACTATTAATAAATTTAGTTTTTATATACTTAATTTGAGGATTTAAGAAAAAAACTAGAATGCTCTTTGACATGCAACATTAGAGTTTTTGGATAATTAATTATCTTGTATTCTATCTACATATTTTTTGACCACACATTTGTTACGTGAACATCGTGCATATCAAACTTTTTGTCCACATTTCTCTTGTCCATAAATTTATTTCTTATTTTTTTCTTATAAATTCACAACCAAAACACACAGATTAATTAACTAGTAACAAGAAAAATGGCAGAAACAAAGTTGAGCGGCTTCAAAGATAAAAGATGGTCACTCCAAGGAATGACAGCTCTAGTGACTGGTGGAACCCGAGGCATAGGGTCAGTTCTTTAATACAAATTTTTTCTCCTATGACAACATGTAATTTATATTATGAATTAGGTATGCAATTTTTGAAGAGTTAGCGGAGTTTGGAGCAGTTGTGCATATATGTTCGCGTAATGAAGATGATATCAACAAATGTTTGGAAGAGTGGAAAAATAAAGGATTTAACGTGACAGGATCAGTATGTGATTTACTATTCCGTGACCAACGTGAAAAATTAATGGAAACTGTTGCTTCAGTCTTTAATGGAAAACTCAATATTCTAGTAAGAATATATCATTAAATTAGATTTTAAAAATAATAAATAATTCCACTCTTATTTTTCTTTAACTAATTATATTGATTAACAATGTTTATTAGGTAAACAATGCTGCGACATTTACTCCTAAACCTATCATGGATTATACGGATGGAGATGTAGCAACTATAATGAGTACCAATTTTGTGTCTGGTTACCATTTGTGTCAACTTGCACATCCACTCCTAAAAGAATCTGGATATGGAAGCATAGTATTCATATCCTCAATTGCAGGTTTGAAAGCCTTTGATTCTTGTTCTGCCTATGCAGCTTCTAAAGGTGTGTTTGTTTATATTCATATATATCCTTTAACTAAGAATTGAATTGTAGAAGATGATTAGTATTTTCAATATAATAAAATTCTATGTAGGGGCTATGAATCAGTTTACTAAAAATGTAGCATTGGAATGGGCAAAGGATAATATTCGTGCTAATGTTGTGGCACCTGGACCTGTCAAGACCTTACTTTTAGAGAATGCAATGGTATGTTATCTATTGTTGTTTATTTATACCCATGGAAGGGATATCCATATTGATAAGCTTTTTGGTATGGTAAAAGAAAGAAGGATAAATATTTATTTCAAGTTTATAAATAACAATAGAACATTTGACTGTTGACAGTACACACCATTAAAATTTGCAAGTTCATTTTTTTGTGTTTCGAGTTATTTGCAAATTGAGGAATTTTAGAGAGAATGAAAGTCAATGGAGAGAGATAACTATTGGAATGAAATCAATGCAATTATAATATATGAGAAGAGATTTTAAATAGTTGGTAAAGTTTAAAATCAACTAAAAACTTATATGTTAAGTTGTGAGAGTTTGCTTACATTGCAAGTTACTAGAGCAACACTTTTAAACTGTCACAAAAAACCATATTATAAAACTAAATTATATTCTAATGTTCTTCCTAATTCAAATTCTCTAAACTCTTAACTCTCATTAATACTTTAAGGCCTTTAAGTCTTGCATACTTCAAGGATTTTGTAAAGATGTCTTCCAATTGCAATTCAGCTTTGCAATACTCCATTCTCAACCACTTTTTACCAACTTGGTCCCTAAGGAAGCAACAACTTTTTTCTATGTGCTTAGACTTCATTAAAATTAATTCTGGGTGTTTGAAGAAATCTTTTTGCCACAAATCTTTGCCTTATAATTGGCAATTTCACCATTTAACTTCAACTTCAACTTGTAAAACCACTTGACATATTGTTTTCTTAGTTGAATACTTGACCATTTCTCATGTTTTTCTCTTTTCATTGGCCTTGAGCTCTTCATTCATTGCATCATATCAATTCTCATCTTTCATGGCTTGAACATGACCAATTTGTTCTGATTTATCCATCTTGGCTTCATCAAATAAGTCACCATTTTCTCTTGTGACTTGACCAGGAAACCTCTAAAAATCATTCAATATAACTTATTGATTTCTGCCCCTTTTTATCTCTTCACTTTCTGAGTTTGTGCAAGCTCGGGATCAGTCTCTACTTATTGGTCATCATCTAAAATAGTGGTTCTGATTTTTTTAAACCTTCATCCTCTTCCATTGAATTACTTGAATTTCTGAGATAATTACACCTTTTACTTTTATAAAATTCCACATCTCTACTATTCACCACCTTGTTCTCATTTGGCGAGAATAACTTGTATACACCCTTGGAATGAAAACCAACCAAGATCATGGTTTGGCCTCTATCACCAAACTTCCCTATGAGTTGATCACGTACATGTCTATAACATAATGAGCCAAAAATCTAGAAGTGTCTAACACTTAGTTTTAGACCTGAGCACGATTCATTAGATGTGTTGTTGTTCAGCGTCTTTGTTGGATACCTATAGATGACGTAGAGATCATTGGAAGTAGCCTAATTCCATAAAAGGTTTGGAATTTGTTTTTGCTTGATAATTCTTCTTGCTTGATCAAAATACTTATTTTTTTCCTCTCAGCAATGTCATTATGTTGAGGTGTGTAAGGTGTTATAATTTTATGCCCAATTCCTTTTCTTCACAAAACTGAGCAAATTCAATTGAGGTGTATTCACCACCACTATCTGTTTTCAACCTTTTAATGACACATTCACCGTGTTTTTCAACTAGTAGCTTGAACATTTTGAAGTTGGCGAACATTTCACTTCTTTTCACTAGCAAGTAAATACACATGTACCAAGTAAATTCATCCATGAATGTTAAGAAGTATCAATTACCTCTTATTGACTTTACTTTAAAAGGGCCACATACATCTAAGTGCATAATCTCTATGTTTTATTGTGACTTCATTGGCAAGTCATGTTTGAATGACTTTATTGTCTGCTTCACAATGCAAAACACTTCACATTTCTTCTCTGGCATTGTGATTTTGGGAATTCTATATGCCATATTCTTCATGTGCGTCAGGAGGAATCCTAAAATTGAGATGGCCATACCTCTAATATCAATTTCAATTTTGATCTTCAATTGTGTTCGATGCAAGACATTGATGGTCTAGAATATTTATCATAATCTTGAATGTCACGTTGTTTGATAAGGGTGCCTTCAATATTAGCTTGGAACTTAAATCAAACACCTTGAGTTATTATCTTCTAACCTCGTTGTGTAATTTTTATCCATCAATTGACCTATGTTGATCAATTTGTTTACCATAGAAGTAACTTACATAACATTACCTATGATTTCTTCTTGTCCATCCTTTTTCTTCATAATAATATTTTCCATTCCTTATGATGTGACCATGCAATTACTTACAAATCTAATGGATCTCCTCAATTATTCATCAAGCTTGATGAACTAGCTTTTATTGTCAAACATGTGTTTGTTACACCATGTGTAAAGGTACCAAACATTGTTTTTTCTTGAGTTAACTGTGTATTAGACATTAAAATAATCTCTCTTGAATGACTACTTTCGGAATGATAAAATTGTGCTACACCCTAGTCATTTCCATTAGACTCTTTGTTGAGTAATGATCCATAACACAGTAACCAAACTTTTGACAATAATAACATTTGAATTTCTTCATCTCCACCTTTTTTTTTTAATTTTAATTGTAAAGAGCATAATTCTTGCTTGTCTCGCCCTAAATACTCAAGTACTTTCTCGCACTATCACTCTCATTTCACTTCTTCTTCCATATTTCTTTGTCCTTGTTGTTCTTTAAGGAGTCTTCTTTCATTTTCTTTAAGAATTTGGCTTGAAAAGCTTGTTCAGACACCATCTTTGAATTTCTCTATTTTAGCCATAACTCACGAGCTTTAAGAGAGGCTTGCAATTCTTTAAGTTTCATCTCAAATAATTCTTTAGAATCTTAAATAGCCACAACAATGTAATCAAACTTGGCCGGTAGAGCTTTTAGAACCCTTTCCACTTTTTGTAGTTGAGATATATATCTTTAAACAACATCATTTGATTGGTCAAAACCATAAACCTTGAAAAGAACTCTGCAATTGCTTCACCATCACTCATTTGCATATTCTCATACTATCTCCTTAAGAATTGCAACTTGACTTTCTATAATTTATCTTTTCCACCATAAAACTTCTTGGAAGTATCCCACACTTCTTTAGCGGCTTACTGGTCAATTATCTTCTAAGAGAAATTTGAATCCAGACAGTAATGGATTAAGAATAAGTCTTTCCCATCTTTCTTGCTCATTTCATAATGATTAATTCTTTATGCCTCATCGAAATCTTTCTTTAATGCCAAGAAACATCATTCATAATTTCAAGTACATCTTAAAATATAAATATGACTTGCATTTGTGCACACCATCTATCATAATGTTCTACATTGAACACTAGTAGATTGGTTGAGAATTGATTAGAGTTTTTACTTCCATTTTCCATGGATGAATGTTACGGATTTGACTCTGATATCAATTTGTTACATAATTTGTGTTTAAAGTTATTTGCAAATATAAGAACTTTAGAGACAGAGAGAGAGAGAGAGATATATATATATTATTGGAATGTAATGAATATAATTAAGTATAATAAGAAGAGGCATTTTAAATAGTTGGTAAAGCATAAAACCAACTAACACACTTAACTGTCAAGTTGTGACAGATTAATTGTGTAGCAAATTACAAGTGCAACATTTTATCTTATAAGTTGATTGCTTATTAAAAAATGGGGGTTGCGTTGTATGATAGAATATACTCACCTCTTTTTAATATAGAAATATTATAGCAATATACGCATTAAATTTTATTTAACAAATTTTTAATTATCAAATGGTTAATACTCCCTTTGGTCCTTTTTATAAGATACACTTCACCTTTCTAAATTCATTAAATAGTTAATGTATCTAGTCTAAAATATAGACTAGATACATTGATTATTTAATGAATTTAAAAATGTGAAGTGTTCCTTATAAAAAGGACCAGAGGGAGTATACATTAACAAACTGTCTTCAATTGGAAATTATGAATTCATAGAAATAGGGAGTTTGGGTTTGGGACTTTAGGAGGGGAGATGTATTTTTGTTTAGGAGTTTTACCTGATGAGTAGCCTTACCTCAATTATTGAGGGACCACCTCTTTCCAAAGGCGGGGACCCTTGGTAGTGGCAAAACACTGAGGGTGGTTTGTATCGTCAAGGTTCAACAAGATCCTCCAGTCACCTGTTTGTGTGTTATGTAAAGGTTCAACGAATCTACCAACTATTTGTTTGTTGCATATGAAGTGCTTGTTCGAGTCTGCTATGTGATTTTAAGGCAATTAGAATGTAGATTGGAGTTTCCTAAAGAGTTAATTTCTTTGTTTGAGAGGTTCAAGGACTTTAGCGATTAGGTTCAGGGTTAACTTGGTTTGACTTCTATTTGACATTCAGTTGTGTGGGTCATCAAGAAACCTTATAGAAAATGTATTTTTTTCTAGTAAGGCAGCGACAATTGAGGAATTAATGGAGTTCTTTTCTTAAGAGTGGTATTTTGGTAAGACTCTTTGTTTCTTTTGGACTTGCCTTGGCGGGCTCTAGGGGTTGGATATTCGTATGGTGACTTTGTGATCTGGTTCCCTTGTGAGCGGTGTTAATTTAACATCTGATTATCTAATTTCCACTCTTGGAATTGGTATTTTTGTTTATATGTGTAGATTCTATTACCACACCAAATTTAAACTTATGCTCCATTGAATATGCCCACTAAATGCAAATAAAATCATTTTACATAATGTATATCCTCTGATATTATTTTGATATAGTGTTTATAACCTCTATTAATTTAAGCTCATATAATTTTTGTTTAATTTCTCTTTCTATAGAGATTATCTACCAGAGTGGATAATATCACTGAAGATATAGTGTCTCAAACGCCGATTGGTCGGATGGGAGAATCTAAAGACATATCAGGAGTGGTTGCTTTTTTTTGTCTTCCAACTTCTTCCCATATAACTGGACAAATTATAGTTGCAGATGGAGGTTTCACTATGTAAACTTTCAATTTTACAATTATTAGTAATTTTATCAATTGAACTAAACTTCACGGGGTTATTATCTTTGTTGCAATAACTTTTTTTTGCAAAGACTTTAGAGTTTTACTAATACTTTTATTTATGTTTTTTCTTATTTGTTGCACTAGATTAATGTATAGCTGGATAAATGATAAGAGGTTTAATTCTTCTTAAATTTATGAAATAATATTTTTGTTCCATGGTGGAACGAAAAAAAAAGAGATTCTCCACTCTTCAATGGTTTTCCATTGAAAATTTATGTCTTCCAATATAGTTTGTGATAAATTACATGATTTTTATTACAATCACAATATCCAAATAACGATGAAAATATTAAAATCTTCTATTTGAATCCCTTAACTTTTACATAATATCTAACATGAATTCTGGAGAAATATTTACGTGCAATCGTCTTGAATCTTCCATTCTTAACAATCCTGCTCCAAAGTATCCATGTGGCATAGATCTTTCCTTGATCCAACATAAAACTTTCTTGAATGATGGTTTGTCTGAAGATTTTAGAAGAATTGCCACCTTGTTCGTAGGATTCCATACAAAACTACCCAAGTGAATATGGAGAGAAGACTTTCCTTCTTTTCAACTGGACTTGTCAAAACCAGGCACAACACCACACACTTTTTAAACCTCTGAAATCTGAAGAAAATATTCATATAAATGTTAATCGCAATAACAAAATCTCCTCAACAAACACAAATATTTTGCTAGCACTCAGGAAACATTCAAAATCCTTTTTTTTTGAAAATGAGAGAGTAAATGAGTTATGAGATTTCAAATTAATATTGGAAGTGTATGTTTTCTAATATTGTGAAAGGTTTGAGAGAAAATGCTTTTATGTGCTGGAAATCTAGCTTAAAAATAAGTGAAAATAGTGTACGATATGAATCATAAACAAGAGGTATGATTGGAGTCAGAAAATCAAGTGATTTTAATCAAGTGGAAAAAACTATATGAGAATCCATTTGTGTGATTCAAGTCACAAAACATGTGATTCGAATCATACGATTCGTGTCATGAAAAATAGTGATTTAAATAAGAGTTCCAAAAGTAAACCAAGAAGATTTTTAGTTCAGCGTGATTCGAGTTAACCATTATTTTGAATCGAATCAAAGTGATGTGATTCGAATCATGAAGTTTGTGTTTCGAATCATGAAAACTGGAAAATGATCCATGCGCTCCTTGTGAGTCTGATTCAAGTCAAATGAATAGTGTTATTCGAATTACACTGGAAAAATATAAATTTCACAAAATTTCAAAAGATTTTTGAGATTCTACTATAGTTATGACTTGAAACATTATCAAACATAGTTCTTGATCCAAAAACTTAATAGATTTAATTAAGTCATATTAATTAAACTATAACAAAACACTTTGATTTATGCATGCTATAAACATATTTAAAAATTAACCCAAAAATGCCCAATCGATGAAGAGAGTCAATAGTAAAATAAACAAAATTAAAAGCTTAATAGATTTGAAAATATAAAATTTAACCCCTGAGGTATAGACATGCAACATATAACTTCAGTCTCCCTTTTTTTGATGTTTGACAAGATTGCAACTGGAAATGAGTTAACTTTAAGTAGAAGCAAAGTGTGATCAATTATTTCCTTCTTTATCTTGTGATCTCCCTGAAACATTGCACAAAATCATGAGTATAATAAAACACATAAATCAAATATAGATTCACATTACAATTTCTCTCAATTTGACAAGTTCATAAAGAGATAGATGCTAGAGACCCTAATTGCAAAATAATCAACAATACATATGATAATCCAGAGAAATAAATGAGTTAAACATAGATAAGAAGAATATACATACCCGGTGAATATACTACAGATAGACATGCAAAAATGGAAAAAAAAATATGTGCAAACAGACATGAAATTATAAACAAAAAATACTATATTATCAAAATGTGTATGAATAGAAGATTAAATAATGCATGAAAAAAATAGAATAATGCTCAAATACACATAATTAAAATGATGTACTTAAAATGGTTTTAAATGCATAAGCTAACAATCACACAACAACTTAGAAATGAATTAATTAAATAAAGAATGTAAGAAGTAAAAAAATAAACACATAGAACAAAATTCAATAATGATATTACAAGAGAGAAAACTTGTAGAATCATACTAGTAGGGTTGGTTTAAATGAAACATGCTACAAACAAATGTTAGTTTATAACATGATAAAAATAGAAATGAAATGAAATAGGAGTCTAAATCTATTTAAAACGTGAAGATTCCAAGATTCCTGATTTCATATGTATCTTGCGAAAAGGTTTAGTGGATAATGGTTTTGTAAAAATGTCAGCCAGTTGATATTTTATATCCATGTATTCAAAAATAACATCACCCATTTCAACATGATCCATAAGGAAATGGTGTCAAATTTTTATATATTTAGTACATCAATGAAGTACAAGATTCTATATGTATATGTGTTAACTATGAAATTTGGTAAACCAACATAAGTTTCTATTAATACTTAAGGGATCAAACACAAAAATCTCCCAGCCATATTTATGTGCATTTATCACTTGGAAAAATCATAATGCGGTCGAAGTTAACACTAAATCCTTGAAAAAAATATCTGTTGTGATCAATTGCAATTAGAAAAGTGCTAAAGAGTAAAGGAATGGGTGTAAAATGGCAAGTAAAGTAAAGAGGATACTTTGAAATCGAAAGGCAAATGCAAAGAATAAATAAAAGATTGAAAATTAAGTGCAAGTAATGTAAACTGACTGGAAAAGTAAAGGAAATCGAAAGAGACTTTAATGCATAAAAAGACTTTTAAGGTAAAATTGCTGGAAATGCATAAAATGGTGGAACGCATACATACATCTTTCCCTCACTCCTTTCTCAACAGGCAGGTATTTTGAGTTTACAGAAATGTGTGCACAATTGCGAACCCTTTACAAAATGAACCTATGTGTCCTCATATACTACTCTATGATATCTGTCATAGAATGGTAGACTACTCCTATGGTGACACATCCCAAGCCCATGCAACGATTTCCTTTGACGTTCTCCCATGTTTCTCTGAATAATTGTCGATGCTGACGCAGTTCCCGCCTCGTGTTACCATTTGAGTCAGGAAAAATAAAACATCTCAACTGAGGGTCGTAAAACTAGAACAGGGCATATAAGCCATTCAACTCGAACACTGAAGGCTTGCACACCAAACTGAGTAACTTCCCATAGGATTCCTTGAACTCTGCCTTCACCTTCGGATTTGCTAAAACAACCAAACTCAACAGGGAACTGATATCAGGAGAAGGGAGCTTGTAGGAAACTGTCTTCTTCAAAATCTCTATGTCAGAACAGGAACAAGGTAACTAGAATCAGGGAGGAAAAAATACACCTGCAACATAGATACATGTTAATAATATGCAAATGAAAATGCAAAATGCATATGCAACAGGGGATCAAGATTGTTGTGCTGTAGTTTGAGACGACCGACGCTTCGCTTTAGTCATAACCACACACTGACATTTGGACCCCTAGACATCAAGAACACAAATCCAAACTGTAAAGAACCGGGTAGTCTGAAAGCTACACCCCCATCCCTCTCACAGGTAAGGACCTATCTACTGATAAGGTTTGGCATCCTATGCGTTCATCAGCGTCACAGACTTTCTAGAAATGATGATACGTTCACCATTTCTGGTTCGGCATCATCATCTCCTGAAGAGGCCTCACTTAGCTAACTCACAAGTGATCGGTTCCCAGAGTCGACAATCCCCAGATCCAAAATTACTTCGAGCCCAAAGGGCCAGAAAGAAAATCGTCAAAGAGAATCTCGTCTGAGCGCGAATTTCATGGCTAGCTGATGCATGCTAGGCATACAGGCTCACCACTACTTTCCACTTCTAATGCTAAGTCTATACTCAAGCCTGGGTCTGGCTTATCTCTCAATGGAACAAATCCCTCCCCATAGCACAACAATAATGATATATGATGCGAAAAATAAAATGCGGAAAGCAAATAAAGATAAAGCACATATGTACACACCCCAAAAATAAACAAACAAGCGCTAGATTTGACTCGCATAGGGGATATTACTGTCCCCAGCAGAGTCGCCAGCTGTCACTACTGTGAAAATCGAGGCCAGCAATAACAGAAGAGTCGCCATCGTGCGTTATTTATCCCAAGAGAGGGAAATGAAATGCTCAGAGAAAACCTGACAAAAAGAGGTATAAGATCGGTCATCGCAACCAAATCTCGGGTTCGGGAGTCGGTTACGCAAGGGGAAGGTATTAGCACCCCTCACGTCTGTCGTACTCGACGGGATCCATACTTGTTGTCTATCTAAAAGGGTGATTGAAACTATCTAGCTATAGGCTTGAGGACAAAAGAAGAAGAAGTAACTCGGCAAAGCAACGGCGCTTTGTGCCTACGTATCTCATCTGAGGTGAGAAGTAAGAGTCAACGTAGTTCGACTAACTACGGGTGAGAGGGAGAAGGTTTCTCGCCAAGACATCGCGTCTTGTGCCTACTTACTTTCATCTAGTATGAAAGGTCAGAGCAAACGTAGTTCGAGCTAAAAGGGAACACAGGTTTGTTCAACTGTTTTTTAGACGAGTAGGGTTAACAATCACTTCTAGCAGTTGGTGTATGCAGCTCGAGCACGGGAGACTTAGGCGTTACCGTTTGCGATAGAACTAAGAGTTAAAAACACTCTTATTATGAAAATGGTTTTCCAAAGTTAAAGGCCCCAAAGGGCAAAAAGAAGTTTGAATGATTTTGTTTTTTGTGTTTTTTAGAGGAGAGGTGTTTTTGAATTGGTTTGCAATTCATATCGCACTAGAGACTATGACTTAGGAGTGATTGCGTCGCATATCACCTAAAGGGTGCTATAATAAACAATCAAGCCATTGAAAGGAAACCCTTCAGCACCCATTTCCCAAGTAGCTTAAGGCTCGTAATGTACAATATTCATTAACCTTTATT